AAATTTTAACTAATCGATAAAATGACACCACCACATAAAAGATCATGTTGAGATTAGTTCTTGACCAAGTCTGGTGCTCTAAAGTTGAACAGGGATCAAGTTATGACTCCTGAGACATGGTTAAAGATCCATACAAACATGTAATTTTGTGACAGCGTTCCCCAAAACCATATGAACTCTTTAAAATATTTTTGAGTTTTGTTAAACTCTAAAATTCGTGATGCATCTACTACTTGGACGGAACTTATTCGAAAATCACTACGGTTTGCCCATTTTCAGGAATATCACAGAAATCGTGAAAAACATTAAGAGTTTATATGGTTTGGGGGGACGCTGTCACAAAATTGCTGACGTTTGTATGGATCTTTAACCATGTTTCAAGAGTAATATCATAGGCGCGGGCGACGAATTACTCCTTAATTTTGGAGCGAGATTTCAGCGTTAATTTGCAATTTCACATGTGAAATTACAAAATACTTTTTACTCCTATGTAGTGGTTTAGCATGTACACTAATTACTTTAACAACCAAACAAAGTCATAAATATTCCAACCAACATGTTCTCGTCCGCTTCAATCTACATATAGGGTGATATTTTAATTTCTTTGCCCTCAAAATATTCGTTTACTACTAAGACTGTTGCTGTACATTAGCATACTGTTATTTGGATCAAGCGCAAGCTACATTTTAGAGAATAAAAAGGAAATAATACTAACTATAAAACTATGGACCAGTCGGATTATCAAGTAATAAGCCATTGCAATACTTTGAAGAGTTCAATAATGTTATGCATTCATGATGAAGTGCGCCCCTTGGGAACGTTCTAGTCTTGCCAGTTTGTTTTGTCAGGATAGCATTCAGTTCCGCCTTTACTCGGTAATAAAATTGCCTACACGAAGAGAATGACCTCAAGGCATCTAGTGTTTTTCTGCAGAATTAAGCCGTTAAAAAACATCCATTTTGCTTTGACTTTTTTCCAAGCAACGTAGCCTGTAAGTGAATTGAAAGTCGCATCTGGTAATCTCACAGGAACAGGAGGGAAAGTAGAATAGACCATTCAAACAAATGCCGCATAGGAGGGCTCCAGTTTTCCTTCTTTCTCCTGGAATAAACACACGAGGAACGACTTTACCACCATGTTGAATTTACTCTATGCCACGTGGTCTGGTATAGACAAATCACACATTTTTCGCCTGTGAAGCTGGTGGCCAGAACAAGGATTTCGGAGCTGGAGCGCACAGACGGGTCTTCCCAGAGATTACAGTTTCGTCCGTGGCGCAAGCTACCGGAAATAGTACGGAAATTATCCGATTATTATAAACTCATTTTAGGTTTTGCTCCCACCGTCAGCTGTGTCTGTGGTTGCTCGCGGGACTCAACCAGCTCTTGAAACACAGACGATCCTTCTTTCCTTTTTATCACTGGATGTTTTCTCGGAGAGAAAGTTCACCTCCTACATAAGCAACGACAGATTAATCCCCAAAGTGCTTTCTAAGTTTTCCGATTCCTCTCCCATTACTTTCGCGCTTAGAAAATTGGAAATAATCGCACTGAAGAGGAAGACATAGAGCTGTTTCGCTTGAGATTCCTTGCTAGGCCGTGTTTTCAGTCACAAACGCATTGTTAACTTTGCCGAAACGCCCTTGTAAATGGTAGAATGACGAGAGAAAAACTTAAGAAAATAAGCACAATAGAAAGCCATGATTTCAGTCTTACATTTAGAAAATAAACTCTATGACAAAACATCTGAAAAATCGCACTCGATTCTAGTATGCCAATGACGCAAAAAAAGTAGGGCCATGTGTTAGAAAACTCTTTACTGGGTTAATCCTGTATCTACCCTCTCAAAATAAAGAACATTGTATTGTATTGTATTGTAAGTAGAGTGCTCACAACATTTGAGACTATTTGTACCCAATGTGTTTGATATGGCAAATGGAACTTGTTTGGAAAAGCTAAGTAACTTAAATGCAGTACAGTACTTACAAGTATACCATACATTAATGCTAAACGCTAGCCGTTCTCAAGAATTAGCACTAAAAAAATCGTCCGGCACTCAGAGTAACATATTTTATGAACTTGAAGGAGAGCCGTCGAGAGTTTCTATGAACAGATCCGTCTGTTTAAATTTGAATACAGTCGATTACCTCTCGTAAGCGACCACATGCGATTTCTAAGTTACAATATGTGTAGTTCTATGTTTTCTGCATCGAGTTGTCGCTTACAAGAGTTTAAAAACAATGGAAAACAATTAAACCATCAGCCCGAAATGTGGTCGTGGTCGCTTATAAAATGAGAGGTTCCATTTACAGGGCTTTCACAGTGGAAATTTTGGTATTTTGGTTAGGTGGTCGCTTAGGGAGGGTGGTCACTTAGATGGGCTGGTAGCACCGGTTCGACTGTAAATACAGAATTGATTTGGTCCTGAGTCGTCTGATGTACGTACACTATCATCGAATTGGAATGTAGAAGTCAAAAAATATATGGTTCACTTTGAGAAG